CTGAATGGCAGCTGTTCACAAGGAGACCGTAAAACAGCAGTCTCTCATGGGTTTGAGTGCCAGGAGCTGAGGGGGAAAAGACATTTTGCCTCTCAGCAGTGGCCGAGACTTTCATAAGGACACTAAACCAGCCAAACTCACTTTCTAATCACTTTTTTGGAAATGTTCAATTTAACCACTTTATGGATATTAGAGACCCTCAAAATGGCAAGCTTAATCTGATACCTGGTGAGTTTACCTTCTTTGGGTTTAAGAAATTTTAAATAGAGTCTTAAGAATTTAAAATAATATACAAGTGGCAAAAAGCAAAAAAAAAAAAGATTTTGATTAAGAAAGCTTTAAATGGATTGGGAGACCAGAGAGATTTGGAATATTGGTTATTTTTGCTGTAAGATTTGAAAAACAAGTATATAATTAAATAGTATACTTGTGAGAAACTACTGAAATGGAACTAAATTCATATTAGGAATTGAGGCTTGATGAAGGTTGTATTGCAAATGGACATTAGAGGGAGAAGACCAGGCAGAAAAAAGTTAAAATGGCTAAGCCGGCTATAACTTTTTCTTATCTTAATTTAATGGGCTGAAATATTAATAACTAATATCTCAGAAAGGATACAGATCTCAATGGGTAAACTTTTAGAAGATGATGAGAAAAACTTCAAAAAACTTTAACATAGACATTATAGAGTTTGAAGGCATGGAAGATAACAAAATTGAGATTACCAAAATGGGAATACTAAAGACAAATCAAGAAATGGATCTGGACATGGAACAGCTGGGACAAGAAATCCTGGACAATGCCTCTTTATGGGCTTTACAAAGTCAGCAGGTGAAAGCTTTGAAGACTTCTTTTAAATATCAAAGAGTGATAAAAGATCAAACCCTGTGATGCCATAGGAATGATTTAAAGGTCAAGATTGTGCAGAGCAAAAAGAAGGAATATAAAGTTGCACTACTTGACCAGGGATAAACTATTTGCTTGATATTTCTGGTAACTCCTCATGGGCTTTTTGCTGAACTAGAATTGAAAAGATAATGATTTCTGGATTGGATAGAGATAAAAGTTTGACTGTGAGGGAAGAGGTTTTTTTATCTGTAACTTTAAAAGAAGGTGAAAGTTATTATATTAGCTAATGCTCAGTGTGATGAAAGTTGGAAGCCACTTTATTATTGTCTTTATTGCCCTTTTCTTTTCTTTTCTTTTCTTTTCTCTTTTTTTCTTTTTTCTGCACCTTCTGAACTTCTATTTTTCTTTTTTCTTCTAGTTTAGTTTGTATTAGCTTTTACTATGTTTATTAAAAACTTCAATAAAGTTATTAATTAAAAACTAAAATAATTAGCAGTTATAAGCACTGTATAGTTTCGAAGGGGGTCTAAATGCTTATAAGCACCACAAATTGGTAGTGGTACCAGAACGGGGAAGTTAGAAATCAATCGTTTTCTTGTTTTTTTCTTTTTTTACTACGCAAAAACAACAATACAGTGGAGACCTCAATATTAAGATTAAGATTGAAACCGTTAGCATGTAATAAATAATTTAATGTATTTTGCAGTTTTTTTATTGATGCCACACTAGGCTTTAGATGTAAAATCTAAACAACCTTATGCTTATCAACGTTAATATTTTAGAAATCGTAAATATTGATATAAATCTTTTTTTTCCTTTAATTTTAAAGGTTTAAGTTATCTAAAGCATCAGTGTGCTAATAATCTCCAGTCAATATTGTATAAATACTATTGTACAATACACTAAAAAATAAAATAAAATAATAAATTACATGCCAGACCAGCTATGCACACACACACAAAGAGATTCTACTAGCGGTTTTATAGTGATAGGCAAGTTCCATGTTTCTCTGCATGCAACAGTAGTTTCAGAAATTCCTATGAAACTGAATGTCAGTTAAAGGGAGGTAATTAAACAAGATTTGTCAGTCCAAGTATCAACCAAAAGGAAACAGCAATCATCTACTTTTAAAATAATATGGGACCTGGAATCCAAAGAAATCAAAGGTTTGAGTTAAAGAAGCTCCTGAGGTAGTCGTATTGCAAGAATGGAAGTAGAAAGTTGAGCTGAAACTGAAATTGAGTCAGTTGCAACTTGTAATTTAGCAGGATCACGTAAAACTTCTTCTGATTCAGGATATTGGCCCTTCCAGCATCCATATTCTCCTCATTTGTGACAAGTGGTGCCAAGTTTATATTGTGGCCACCATTGCTTGCTTCTGTTTTTCCAACATAACTTTTCTTGTGCCTGGGCATCATTTTTAACAAAACAGCACACTACCATGATTTTACGAATCATTTTTCCTTCCTATCCTTGCATTTGTCCAAACTTATTCACAAGCTACGCATCTCAGATTCCTGTTTCTTTCTAACAGCTATAGCATCCCATTTCTGAAATTACTGCATATAAAGATGATTTACATCTAAATAAAATGTCTTAATCTACTATCCTTGGAGAAGAAACTGAAAGCTCACTGAGTTACTATCCAGGAGATCCTGAAACATAT